TAAGAATGTGTTGCTGCATTTACTATACAAATCAACAGCTTCTCTGACAACTCAATTTTTAAAAATTTATCTTGCCCAAATCTCTGTAGGGATCAATATTATTAACACCTACGTTGTATTTGGTAGCGTACAATCAAACTAAATCCCTGCAAAACTTCTGTGATACAAGAAATGTGGCTATTGCAATTAAATTAAGTTTTACTATTAGACTATCAGTCTGACATACCTTTTGTCGCTCAGTAACACAGAGTTGTCTTCCTTGGCCAATGTTTAAGGGATTATAAAGAGGTTCTTGCAATTCCGCTAAAACTAAGGCGTTTTATGACGTCACTAGAGCAACTGGACGCTACTATTAATATCTATGCACAGTCTAGTGATGTCAGAAAACGCCTTAGTTTCAGTGGAATTGCAAGAGACACAGACGTCAAAATGCAAATTGATGCTATCAGTGTCCCTGATATACATAAAAAGTTTAGAAAACCTCTTTACTATCCCTTTAAGAATACTGTAGCTCCTTCAACTTGGTATGTCTGTGTATAATGTGATAGAGAATTTAAGCATTGTGTTAATGTAATGGATGTTACAGCTGTTAATGGGATGTATTCTGTCATTTGTAGGATGTAAAATGTAGTGGTAACTGGATGTGGCCAGCTAAATTACCAGGAGAGGGAGTAAATCTATATATAGCTTGCCAGGCAATGTGTCAGGTGATGAAGGAGCTCGGTATAGCTGTGGATGGTGGAAAAGATTCATTGAGTATGGCAGCTAGAGTTGGTGGGGAAACCATTAAAGCACCAGGTAGGATTTCTTATTCTGATCTATACCAAGTTCCTAGCTAACCTAGAAATCTGGTAGCCGTGGTGCCTCTGGGAGTTTGAGGTTTGCTCGGAAACTTAAAGATTCAAGGTTCAATGTTGGTATAAATTGGATATGACCTCAAAGTTTCCAACTATCAGTTGGCAGCAAAAATGAATAGGCCTGGCCCAAAGTTCCCTGATTGCACAGCATGGTATTGCCCAATTAGATGCAGAAAGATAGGTTGTAATATTTCTAGGGATTTGATTTAGTCCTGTATATACTCATTTACAATTATGTATATGTTAGACTGTAAACTATGTATTATATTACAGGTACACTAGTTGTATCTGTATATGTCCCGTGTATTGATATCACAGTAACACCAGACTGTAAACTATGTATTATATTACAGGTACACTAGTTATATCTGTATATGTCCTGTGTATTGATATCACAGTAACACCAGACTGTAAACTATGTATTATATTACAGGTACACTAGTTGTATCTGTATATGTCCCGTGTATTGATATCACAGTAACACCAGACTGTAAACTATGTATTATATTACAGGTACACTAGTTATATCTGTATATGTCCTGTGTATTGATATCACAGTAACACCAGACTGTAAACTATGTATTATATTACAGGTACACTAGTTGTATCTGTATATGTCCCGTGTATTGATATCACAGTAACACCAGACTGTAAACTATGTATTATATTACAGGTACACTAGTTATATCTGTATATGTCCAGTGTATTGATATCACAGTAACACCAGACTGTAAACTATGTATTATATTACAGGTACACTAGTTATATCTGTATATGTCCTGTATATTGATATCACAGTAACACCAGACTGTAAACTATGTATTATATTACAGGTACACTAGTTATATCTGTATATGTCCCGTGTATTGATATCACAGCCACTGTAACGCCAGACTGTAAACTATGTATTATATTACAGGTACACTAGTTATATCTGTATATGTCCTGTGTATTGATATCACAGTAACACCAGACTGTAAACTATGTATTATATTACAGGTACACTAGTTATATCTGTATATGTCCCGTGTATTGATATCACAGCCACTGTAACGCCAGAGTGTAAACTATGTATTATATTACAGGTACAC